ATCTACAGTGGGTATGAAAATATATCAAAAAAAGAGAAAAGAATTCGAGTTGGGAAACAATGAGCAACGGTTCAACACTGGGGCTCTGAGAACAGAAGATGTGACCTAATAACGAGATAGAGCAGAATTAGAAGAAATAGAGGAGTTAAACCTGAAGAACCACGGTAGGTGGAAGAGAAGCTACCTAAGGATACCGGAAAGGAAGGGCCAGAGAAGGAGAAGAAAGCAAGAAAGATGTGGTCAACTGCAAACTATAGAAAGAAAGTTCTTGCAGGTTTCCCTGCAAAGTAGCTATGGGTCAGCCGTCAGTGGCCTGTGAGTCTCAGTTCCACCACATATGGTAATTACGTGAAGACGTTCTTTCTTTTCTCTTTTGCTACTTGAGAAAAGGTTTCACTGTGTAGTTCAGGCTGGCCTTGAACTCACTAAGTATGCCAGGCTGGCCTCGAACTTGTGGGGATCCTCCTGTCTCTCCCTCTCCGAATAGCTGGGGTTACTGCGTGCGCTACCACACCCGGCCCACACCCTGCCTCATTCCTGCATGCGTTAGAGTCTCCTTCGACCTGGCTACAGCAGGTGTGGTCTGAGTCCAGCAGCATCGGGGTCACCTAGAAATTTGTTCCAAATTCAGTCTTTGGTCCCCTTGAGAAGAACTACCTAGAGTGACCCCTTTATTAGTGGAAGTTGCACGAGCAACTCTGATAGGTGTGTGACTCTGACGTGTGTCCAGGGTTAAGATGTACCAGACAACATAAAGCATGAATCATGTTGAAGAAAACCAAAGAAATTAAGCAAACTGGTAGATTGCTTCCCCTTGACACTGTCTCTCACCTTTTCTTCTGTGTCCTCCAACCTGTTTCCTGAGACCACATGAAGTTTCTCACGCTGAACATTTCACAACCCAGTTCTACCTTTCAGTGTTGCTGCCATCTTCAGACCAGCATAGTTTAATCTCAATGTGGGAAAGCCACCCGGTCTTAGACGTCATTTGCCCTGAGCTGCAGCCACTGTCATTAAAATATCCTAGGCAAAGGGAATCAAAGATGATCTCCATGTCAGCCATCAGGGCGCTGAGCAAAGGGAACTAAGTAAATAAGAGAAATACCTAACTTTCTTCCACAAAGCCTGGCTAAGAAATAAATGTGTCATTCCTGAGCACAGTTGAGGATATAAAAAAATGAGAAGAAAAAAAAACTGTCCAAGAGAATCCCAGGTATCCTTAGTTGCCACAAAAGCCATATACTGTGTGCTATTTTACACTTAAATGAATGAAAGAAAATCTTCAGCCCATACTCTTGACACCTTGCCCCCAAATAAAAGCTATTTAAAATGCATATTGAACTAATTTGCTGGGAACTGGAAGGAAAGCTCAAGTGCTTCTCCAACTTTAGTGTGTGCAGGGATCAGTCCGGGGCCCTTATTGAAATGCAGGTCTGATTCTGTAGATTGGAGTGGAGCCTGACTGTCCGCAGTCTAGTGGAGTAGGTGTTGGTGGGTGGCCGTCCCTAAAGAACATCACTGCCACCTGCTGGCAACACTTCGCACCGCACGGCCAGACCTAGAAAAAAATGGCTTGGTCGGCTGGGGAGCAACCACTCACCTAAGAAGGTAAACAGCAGTTCTGCTCTTTTCTGCACCATTCCAGACTCTAGTGGCATCTTTGAACTCCAATTCTTGGTTTTATCTGCTTCTACCAATCGTCATCTCAAGGATTATGCTTGGTCATAGACAGTTTTGGAGGCAGCGAGAAAAGCCAGCTGCCAGGAAGAGACGGTAGGCACTGAATGTCCAGTCCGGGAGGACGATATGAAAAGATTTGAGATCCACTAAAGAGCTAAGGCCAAACGGATACAGCGGCACACACCTGTGTCCCTCCCAGCTGCTGTGAAGACGAGCAAGAGCATCACAAGTTCCAGGCCAGCCTGGGCAACTTAGTGTGGCCGTGTCTGGAAATAAAAAATAAAAATGGCTGGGGTATAAATTAGGGCATCGGTAGATGAACAGACCCTGAACCTTGCTACCTCTTTCTCGCTTTCTTCTCACTGGACTCTCAGAGGCTGGTGGAGGAACAAGAGGCCGCTCGGGGGGATGCTAAGGGAGATAACTAGAGTCCGTCTTTTCTCCACTCCCAGACTGCAAAGTTGACTTGTCGTTTTTAATTGATGGGAGCTCCAGCATCGGCAAGCGCCGGTTCCGAATCCAGAAGCAGTTCCTGGCTGATGTTGCACAGGCCCTGGACATCGGCCCCTCCGGTCCTCTGATGGGCGTTGTTCAGTACGGGTGAGTGCGGCTCATGTTCTGAATTTAGGAATGGAGTGATGATGTTTGCTTAATGTTAAGCCACGTATAATACCAGCTCCGATCTGATCTGTGTAACGTAAAGGGAAAAAAACTTGGAGCAGTCTGTATGCCAGTTAAGAAATGTGAGCCTTTCTTAAGGGATAGTTTAATAAGTAAATGGCATTTTCAGTATGGCTGAGAAGTCGTTATCTGTTCAGAATTAGGAGAGCTGAGTGCAGGGCTTCACTCAGCCACTTCCTGTGTGGCCTTGGACGAGGCCTTCGTCTCTCTGATCACCAGTTCCCTCCCTCGTCTGTAGCTGCAGCCAGCTAGGTCCCCTTTCACCCCTCACTCTTAGGACGTGTGCTTGTCGTGATCCACCCACTTAAAGGTAAGAGGCCAGAGAGCCCAGTGCGGTAGGATTGGATTCCCTTTCTCTCTGCATTACCTCGGGCCTCTTCCCTGCTGCCAGAGAAGCTCCCGAGGAAACGGAGAAGAATGAGGGTGAGAACAGATGGCCCCGCCAGTCAGCCGGCCACTGCAGTGCTGGTCTCTGTTCCGCTTTATTTATTATTTTACTTCCGGTAGAAAGTAAAGAGTCCTCTTCCCATTCCAAAGCCAACCTTCCTTTTTTTCTTGTTTGGGATAATAAATCAATCTCATCTCAGATGTGAATCGATTTCTCCCTCAGACAGATATGGTCACAATAAACGATCAAAAGTGAGAACGGGCACAGAGCTCAGATGTACATCTCAAATAAGCGTCTTGGGGGCCAACGACTGTTGAGGGTCCTTCACCAAGGACCACTGAGCTCCCTCCCGCCCTCCCTGCACACCTGCAGTTCAGGCCTCAGAACTGGCCTCCTTTGTACCACCGCTCAGGTTTCCCGAAGATTTTCTGAAGCAGCATTTTAACTGAAGCAGTTCCATGGAAGACGTTAGAATACTTATTTTTAAGTTACCAAGAGAAACAAACGAAGGGGCTTCGTTTTCGAGAGAACTGTAACATTCTCATTTTGAGAATTAAATTCCAATAATACATTTAGTTTTTCTTGTGAGGAAAAACAAGGAGATTAGTTAATTGGCACTTACAGATAGACAGAGTCAATTATATAAAAATAGCTGATTGCTGCAAATGCCGTATCTCAATGTCAAATAATCCATTTTAAGGCTTTTGGTGTGAAGTAAGGTTTTTCTTAAAATCATTGTGTGTGTGTTGTTTTTAAGTGTTAACCCATTCCTGTGTGAGTTTTTAAGGCAGCAAACACGTATCAGGCTTTTCTATAGGGAGGAAATGCAAGTATTTTAGTAACATGTCCCTAGTGCATTTTATTAGGGGGTTCAAAGCTTGGTGTGCATTAAAAATAGCTGCTCTAAAAACTGTGGATGCCTAGGTTGATAGCAAGATATAAAACTAAGGCGATGAGCATGTCAAGGAAAAGAAAAATGGCCCTAGGATACTGACATGTGCCAATGAGAACATAGATTAAAGAACAAAGGTAGCAGGGAAGAAAAGCCATAAAGATTCCTTTTTCCTGCCATGGCTGGAATGTGTCCCTCAGTGTTTGTGTGTTGGGAATTTATTCCCCAGTTCAGCAGTGTTGAGAGTCCGGACCTTTGAGAGGTGATTAGGAATTGGCTAATGTTATTATCAAGGGCTGGGGGTAGTTATCAAGAGGGTGAGTTTGCTGTGGAAGAGAGTTCGGCCTTGTGTTACTTTAGCTCTCTCAAGTACTCTTTCTTCTGCCTCCTGCCATGGGATCCCTGCATGAAGGCCTTTGACAGGTGTAGGCTTCTCAGTTGAGATCTTTCCAGCCTCCAGAACTATAGTAAGAAATGTAAGAAACATGGCCAGGCATGGTGGCACATGCTGGTAGCCCCAGCACTCAGGAGGGTGAGGCAGGAGGATCTCCATGAGTTTGAGGCCAGCTGGGCTACACAGTGACTTCAAAGCCAGCCTGAACTACACAGTGAGACCCTGTCTCAAAAATAAATAAATAGGGCCAGGGATTTAGCTCAGTGGTTCTGCCACCTGCCTCACAAGTATGAGGACCCGAGTTCAATCCCCGGTACCAAAAAAATAAATAAATAAGTAAATAATAAAAATAAATGTTTTTTTCTCAATAAATTGTGCAGTCTGTACCTTATTCTGTTATGCAGCACAAAACAGACACACACACACACACACACACACACACACACACACACACTCCAAAACATGTTCTCCTACACTTTCTTAATGTGATTATCATTTGCAAGAAAAATACCTTCATTGCTTTCCGATTTCACCTTCTTCAGTGTCTGCCCTTTTTCTCTCCAGCTCCCTATGAGTGTAAAGCGCTAAAGGAAATGTGTGTTCTCTCGTCCCCTTTATAATCACATCAACCGATCCCTCATCTTCGCCTTGCTCTGGCAGCTGGATGGAGAGGAAACACAGTGAAAGGCTGGCGGGTACTCTAGATTCTGACCTGGGCCCTGCGGTTTGACCTTCAGCAAGTCATGTGACCTCTCTGTGTGCGTGGGGCCCCTGTAAAGCACAGCCGTCAGCCGAGGATTTATCAGGGCTCTGTCAGCCTGGCGATCTGCAATTCGGTGATTGGCTCTGTATCCAGACAACACCCAGTACGTGAGTGTTGGACCGACAGACGACTGAGTGGCTTCCCTCTCTAAGATGATCTAAGATGAAAGGATGAGTTGCGTCAAAGCTGGGTATCCATCCTGGGAAGAGAGAAACAAAACAAACCGGAGAGTGGTCTGATGGTACTGAGGGGTGACACATTCCTGCGGCTGAAGTTGCTCTGGGGCTCAGGGGCCGAGGAAGGGGGTCCAGCAGCAAAGGGACGACATAGACGCAGGATCTGTGTTTCTGGAAAAGGACAAGTATGTTGGGAATCTGGGAATCTGATTCTTCTCGAGGTGTTTTGCAGATTTTAAGCTCCTGTAATAGGGTTCTCCAGAGAAACACAACCAGTCCAGCATATGTCACCGTAAGAGAGGGTTGTTTATTAAGTTGGCTTCAATGACCAGAGGCTGAATATTCCCACAATGGCGACCTGCAAGCTGGAGAGCTGGGGAAACCTGTAGATGCTCAATCGAAGAAGATACAAGCTCCGAACAAGAGAAGGAGGCTAATCATGCAGCCCCGGCCCAAGGAGGAAGGCCTGGAAGTCCCTGGAGAGCTGCTGGTACACGTTCATGTTCAAAGGCTGAGGAAGCTGGAGCCAATGTCCATGAGGGATGGAGGCAGTGGAAAAACGCACCCGCTCGTGCGCGCGGGCCACCTTCCCCGTCCGCTGGTTTGCTCCTTCTGGTCCCCCAGCCTATGGGCTGGTGCAGCTCGTGCTCAGGGCAGGTCTTCCCCACGCAGTTTGCTGAGCCACGTGCCAGTCTTCTGTGGAAACACACTCAGAAGGGTGCTTTACCAATTCTCTAGGGTTCTCCTCATCCGGGAAAGCTGACAACCAAGATGAACCGTCGCGTTCTCGCTACTCCCGCTTGGAATCAACCCGGTGTCTTGGAACTGCAGGACCTTGAGGTCTCAGCGAATAAACAAGTGGTTCTGCCTCTTTGCGGTACAGTGAGGACGTGAGGCCTAGAGAGAAACGACTTGCCCTCAGGAAGGCGCACCTGAGGGAGAGGCTGAGGGTGAAAGGGCCCCGTGGAGAGCCCCATAACCCTGAACTCGTGCTCCCCTCAGGCTCCCCATTCCATCACAGGGCCACTGTGCCACACAGCTCAGGCCACAGAAGAAGCCCTTCCTTGCTCCTCCGTGGGAGAGCTGAGTCTGAATTCAAATCTTTAAATTTATAATTTTAAAAAAGGTGTAAAACTTAGAAGACTCGTACTAAATATCAATGGAAAACAAGAAATACAAATTCCAGACGAATAAGTGCAACAGACTGATTTACAAAGTGCCTGTTCCTCAGATATCTTACTCAGAGACCCTCCGGGTGTGAGAAACAGAAAACCACTCCGGCGGTGCGGACAAAGGGAGATCTATGGTGAGGGCCGCGCCTTGCCGCTGTACCCCGTCTCCAAGAACCTCTGGCTCTGTCCACATCGTTCGGCCCTCAGCAGAGCAGCATCTTCTGCCTGGCTCTTGGTTCCTGCCCCTGCAGTCCTTCACCTGGTCTGACAGAGCTTCTACCTCTGCTCCGGGCCCAGGAGAGTCTCCACCCCTGCAACACCAGCACCCTCACTCTCCAGCATCTCGGCCTGCAGTGGCTAAAAATCCATGTCCACGTCGACCTGTGAGCAGCCACAGCAGGCCTGTCATGACTGTCACCTCCAGGAAGAGAGGTGGCATTCCCTACAGGCTCAGAGAGGAGCAGCAGACTGCCCCAAGAGTACCTGCTAACCTTCTGACTACAGGACCAGGGCAAACAGCAATCCTGAGTCAATCCCCATGGTGTCAAACAAAACTGACTTCAAGGAGGAAATGTCCCTCGTCTGCCAGGAAAGCTGATGATTGACATTTTGCCCCAGGTTGAGGAATGGGACCCTGAGCTTGAGCCAAAGGCCAAGGCTCAAGCCCCCACCCAGGACATGTATTCCGTGTTAAAACCGCACACCCAAGGGCTTGTGACTTCAATTCCTACCAACAGAAACACTAAGGCTAAGGGAAAGAACAGCGGCAGGTTGTTGTTCGGTGAATTCTAGCAGACAGCAGATGCAGCCAAAAGGCTTGTGGTTGAGCTCAGCTGCATCTAGGCTCCTAGCGTCCTCCAGATCTTCAGGATTGCTTTCACTGGAGGCCCAAGTTCAATATAACAGGACTCCAGATGTCCCTCTGATACCAACCATAGGACCAACCATCAAAATGTTTAGATAACAGTGCTTAAATAAAGGGAGGTGTTGGGTTTTCTTCATTTAAAAATGAAACTGACTTTCCTTTGCTCACAGGTCTATGACAGTTGTCCTCTATTTCAGGGTGCACCTCCTCCATCTCCTTCCTTCTCAGCCCTGGACTAAAAATTTGCAGTTAGGAACTCATAGCACCCT